TATCTCTCGTCTACTCTTTAATGCTCTATATATCAACTTCATATGTAAAATAGTTAGGGAAGCTCTTAATCACCCTAGTTGGTGTAATGCAATGCTTGAGAAGATAGATGTTCTTGATGAAAATCATACTTGGGATTTCATGGATTTACCCAAAGGAAAAAAAAAAGCTATAGGGTGTAAATGAATATTTACAGTCAAAATGAATCCAAATGACTCTCTGGCGAGACTTAAAACTAAACTGGTAGCGAAAGACTATGATCAGATTTATAGGACGGATTATTCTGATATATTCTCTCCAATGGTCAAACTTACCTTTGTCCATTTATTCATCTCTATTGCAGCCACCCAAAATTGACCCGTACACCAATTGGACATTAAAAATGCATTTCTTCATGGTGATCTCTTAGAAGAGTGTATATGGAGCAACTACCTGAATTTGTTGCTCACAGGGAGTACAGGAAAGTATATCATTTGAAAAATTTATTGTATAGTTAAAACAGGGTCCTTATGCATGGTTTAGCAAATTTAGTGAAGTACTCTGTGAGTTTGGATTGAAGAAAAGCAAGTGTGATCATTCGATTTTCTATAGATAATTAACTCCATGATTGCTAAACAATATGCCAAGTCCCGGAATACATTTTAAGTGACACAAAATCTGTTCCAGGATCTCTCAGTATTTGATTGTAGGTGCAGATATAAATTGACTAGCAACACTGATAAGATATACAATATCTGAATGAGCCACATTGAGGTAGTTCAATTTTCCGACTAGTCGCCTGCATTTTTCTGAATCATCAAGGAGATCACCATCATCTTTGTAAGAAGTACATTTCCCACCGTTGGTATATTGCATTACTTAACTTCTAACTTTCCAGTTTCTAAAAGTAGATTAAGTACATACTTCATCTGAGATAATAAAAAAAATTTCTTATGTCTTGTTACTTTAACTCCTAATGAGTATTTTAGCTGCCCCAAGTTTTTGATGTGAAACTTGATATGTAAGAATAATTTGAGAGAAAATATTCCTCCATGATCATCTCCTGTAATAATAATATCATCAAGGAGATCACCATCATTTTTTGTAATTAAGAAATTAAACTATCTCATTGTGACTCGTCCAAATATTACATATTCTATCAATGTTGTTAGTCAATTTATGTCTGCACCTACAGTCAAACACTGAAAAGTTTTGAAATAGATTTTGTTCTACTTAAAAGGTATTATGAGACTTAACATATTGTTTATCAGTCATAGGCATACTCACATTAAATGTTTTACAGTTACTGATTGGGTTAGTATCATGAACGAACCAAACATATCGAAAATGATTGTCACTTCATCCGTGAGAAAATTTAGGAAAACTTGATATCTATTGGTTATGTGAAGATAGAGGAACAAATAAATGATATATTCACAAAATCTCTAAATAGAACACAGACTTAATATCCTCTTAACAAATTGAGCATAATTAATATTTATATTTCAGCTTAAGAGAGTGTTACAAGATTATATCTCGAGTATAATAGCATGATTCTCTGTATATAATAATATAATTACCTGCCCAAATATATTAGCATAATTAGGCAACAAATTAATAAGATAATTTATGTTGGTTATTATATATGAATCCATCTGTATGTATATATATCCCGAACCCTATTGAAATGAATAACAAGAATATATTCATATTTTTCCTAACCTTTTACACTAGGAAATGGATTTTCAATGACCAGATCAATCATTTCCAATAGTTGTGCAAAAAAGCCACTTTTTTGGCTACTTTATCATTCTACCACTAGTATCACTAACCTCCCTTGCAATTGGGTGCTTTTAAAATCAAGAGCTAGTATATTTTTACGCATTTTTTTTCATTACTAACTTGTGGAGGATGCCTTATTCTCCTTGATTGTATTATTTTTCCCTATTTCCCTCTCTAATAATGTTTCTTCTTTTATCAAAAAAAAAAAATGAGCTTCTTTCCGAAAAGTTTGGGATCTGTTTGGAGGAGTGTTTTGAGATCGAATATAGAAACTTTTGGCACTAATACCAATTGATGTTGGTCAAATTAGAATTAATTTACCTACTTAAAAGTTTGGAATAAATCTAGACATCAAAACTATGTTTCTTCGACATTTTGCCCATGAAATGGATTCTTAAGCATCATGTATCAGAGCTGATTGCATCAAAAAACTAGACATTGGAGAAAAGTCTTCAAATAATATATTGACTTATGGCTCAATCTCAATGTTTGAGATTACATAGATACTTATAGGGCTTAAAGAAAGATCCTAATCTAACTATATCTACTGAATTGTTAACAGGAAACTTACAACTTAAAAGAATTTAAACTACAAATAATAATAATTATTATTATTATTATTATTATAATAATAATAATATAGTTACTAAAGAACTAATCGTATCAAGACCAACAGCAATATATTTTAGATCAGATAGAAATAAAATTCCTAATCTATTTAGAATTTCTAAGCCTAATCCATTGTGTACCAACATCTCAATGTAGCAATTCATGGATTTATTAAATATATAATGTGTCTCTCTTTACACATTTTTTTTTTCTTTTTTGTTAGCAACATTCATTATCTGTCTTGTGGCCCAACCAGAAAACAATATACAGAGAAAGGAAAAAACAATATATTTAAAAGGAAAAAAGAATCTGTAATTACCATTGCGCTTTGGAAGGAATCCGGAGCTTTCAGCTGAAACTGGAAGAACAGGGAAAGGACCAGCTTCAACACCAGGCTTTTCACTTTCTGCAGGACTATGGAACATACCAGTCTTAACACCTACAGACTCAGCAAGTCTCGCATGAGCAGTTGCTTGCACTTGCATATCAACTGAACTTACAGATCTGAAATTATAATCCTGGGACTGTATACACACAGAAATAAAGATGATGCTATATAGCTTTGCCACTAGGAAAGATAGGGTCTCCAGAGTCAAGAAGATTCAAAACCTTTGTCAAAATATCTGCTGACTTTTGTTTTTCTTCGCCTTTCTCAGAGGAGCTATCACCTATTAGGCAAAAGAGTATGAAAGGCATAACAAGCTGGAAGCATGTCAATGAGACATGCAAACTATAGAGTTTCAATAAGAGTACCATTTTTATAGTTAGGACCAGGCTTTGGAAGATCCTCCGCCAATCTTCGAGTCATGGGACCAGGATTCATAATAGAGATACTTCTTATTTCATAACGAATTGCCTCAAGCTGTGCCATTGTATCTTGAAGTTCTTTGTGAACCTACAGTTAAATACAGGTATGAGAGGAAGAACCTCTTCTGCTCATCTAAATTTGATCAAAGTAAACTTCCAAAAGGGGTCTTGAAGTGCAATTAAGTAACTCAGGCAAAAAAGGAGAAAAAAGCAATAATCCATATAAAAAAACATATTATTAGATTTTGATGTGTAGTTATCATTTTAATCACATGATTTTTTTCAATAATTCTTTTGTTCATGCAGAATTAACTTATTTCATTTTTTCCAAGAATAAAGGAAATACCTGGCGAGCTTGAGATTGCTGCATAACATTATCAAATTGCCCACGAGCCAATTGAACATAGCCAATAGCTCGGCCCGCTAACCTACCAGCTGTCCTTGCAATAATCGGGAGATCTTTTGGACCTACCATATAATAAGACCAAATTATACCAATTCCAGACCAATTCCAGTCTTTTTCAAGACAAAAGCCTTCTTTTCACAAAATTAATCAAAACCTAGACGAAAATTCCACAATTCTAATCGAACTCCTAAAAATTTATAGCTCATTGAAACATGAAAAAATTGAAAAGGAATTATGAGAGCAAATAATGCCCTTACGTACAGCACCTACAAGCGCACATAATAAAGAAAGAGAGGTACCAACTAATGCAGCAGTGGCACCAATCAAGAGGAAGAGCTCTCCATACGAGATACCAAACATTTTCAGGACTGAATAGTTCTCTTCTTCCTCAGGCACTCACTTGGTTAAGAGCAAAGCTAGAACAGGTATTTCCAGCCTCATGTGGCAGTTCAACAGCAGATGACCATAGTACCCCTGTTGTCAAATGAAGGGGTGGTGTAATACAGAAGCCAACCTGATTGAAATCTATTGTAGAACTAAATCTAAAAATTAACGCTACCCAAAATAAAGTAATTTAATTTAATGAACATCGTATTACGGATTAACCGAACTTCAAATTCTATATTATATATTTCAATAGAAAAGATCAATACAGCAAAACAACTCAGTGGAAAAATGATTTAATATAGAAAAACTATCAAACAGGTAAATTTTCAAAAAAAAAATGATATTATAGCTCCCAAGAAACATATTTAATTTTAAAAAATTGAAGGGAGTAGCCATTGACCCATTAAGGGAGGGATCAGCAACCATTATGCACTTGTCTAGTTCGAAAATAAATAGATTCCACAAAATCATATGACATGAAAAGGGACAAGGCACCTGTCCTATGGTGCAGCTTAATATTAAGGCCTAAATGAATGTGTCAATTGTCTAGGTCTACATGTATATGAGACATCCAAAAAAAACCCATATAATCTTTTTGTAATCCATTCTGGAGGGAAGAATCAAATCGATAAAAATTAAAAAGAAAACTGAAAAGAAACTCTTCCTGTTCTCCTCAGGGTCACAAAGTCTGTCCCTCTAGTTCTTAGACCTGTTCATATGATTATTAGAGGAAAACAGAAAAGGAAAAGATTAAAAAGCCTCAGAAATCATGTACTCTGTTTTAGATTTAAGACATTGGCAGCATGTGATAATTTCTCGGATTTTAGAGTGCTCGAGCTTGGTTCAGGTTCAACATGAACCTAAAAAGAAATACATAGTCAACATATCAAAAAATTGCAATCATAAATATCTCTTACAATGACCTACATGAATAATTCATACACAAAATAGGTATCATTCAACCACTGAGTTCTAGCACACTCTAGATAGCCATTATACCTCAAACAACAGTGACAAAAAAATCTTCGCTAATCAATTACAACCAAATCCTGAAGCCCAAAAGTTATGTAATAAACCTATTCCTAAAAACATCAAACAAATCTATATTTACATTCTGCGGTCGGGGTTGATAATCAATGTCAATCAATCACAGATGAACACATGAAATAAACTTTGAATGTAAGGACAATCAACAGCAAATTCACCTCCAATCTACCATTAATCAAACATATTGAGCAATTTTTTTTCTAAACGTGAACTTCACAAGCACAGATTGGATTCATCACCAATCTATTATAAACCACCATAAAGATGGATTTATTTTACAAACATAAAAAGGTACTTAATCACAAGGAAACTATGTGAATAAACAACACGCTTACTCCTGTTTAATTTTGGGCATACCAAATCTAGATTCCTTCAACACAAAAAGTTGTTCAAGATCAAAAGAAGAGATACTTAAATGGGATCCAGTCATAGTTAATTGTATAAACCCCTAGATGCTAAAAGAATATCTGATGAACACTGAAATGCCACATTTACAGCTAAAAGAGTAAAAGATTCCACAGCAAACATCAAACAAAAATGCAGTAAACTCCAAATCAGCATTGTCACAACAGGAGTGACACAAGACGAACGACTCCGTAAAACAAATATTTAAAATGATGTGTAAGATTTAGGGTGCCATCACTTTTGGGATGAGATAATATGGTAGAAAACTACTAGTCTAATTTCAAAGATCTAGGTCTAAAATAATACAAGAGATGAAAATATAAGACACCCGTCTCGTGGTATAAACTAGTTAAATTTCTAGTTTGCATACATTATATTTATCTTAATATATATGAAATGTGTGGTATTGTCATTCATGCAAAATAGAATTTATTAATTAAAATGTTTATATGCCTTATTGGAGATGGAATCGAAAATACGTCAAAAATGAAAAATTCAAGAACAAAAATTATTCACATAGGTTCTTCTAAAATATCTCGCATAACCATCTCCTCTAAAGTTCTCCAATATCTTCTTTCGGTGAAGGGGTGAGGTTTAGGATCACTAACCAGAATTTCCTTTTGATCTTCTCTCTTTTTTTATTGGTTAATTTGATTATTTTCCATTTTGGTTCCTTCATCTTTTAGCCATGTAAAATGCAATGGTTATCAAGATCTTAACCTACATCTTATTCGCAATACGGTTTGCTGGAAATAGAATAGAATGTATAATACTGGAGACAGAACAATCACACACTAAACCTTAACCCTTAGAGTGTGCCAAAAGGAAAAATACGACCTCATTAATATTTAGAGGAGAACTCAGACAGTCACAGAAATATGACTCTATTGTAGCAAAGAAAAAAACCAGGCAACTACTGCTCTTAAGGGTATTAGATTCATGCATAAAGATAGACCCTTTTTAATCTCATAAGCAGTTTTAAGTAGCCAAAAGTCAAGACCACGGTATGCTGAGTAATTATTGGTAACACGTCATACACAACAGTGGCAGAGAAATCCCAAACATTAGACACAGAAATATATGAAAGGTAGCATACATCATGTAGAAGAAAGATAACAGGAGTAATTAAGTCAAATAAATACGAAAAAAGAAGACACAAGAAAATGTGACACAAATATTAGTAAAGCATCAAAAAGTGAAAAAAAATTGTTCAAAGCAGAAGAACATGATATCAACAGACTCAATTCATTAATCTAGCTATTTTCAACAACTTCTAACATTTAGATTATATTTAGAATCACACTTAAAACATCACAGTAGAAGAAGGCTAGACAACCGTCATAAACATAACGAAAACTGTGTCCATTACAGGTTATACAACACATGAATTGGAACCGTCAAGTTACCGTTGTACGTAAATCATCTCCAAAATCAAACATTTTAAACTTACATAACGGAACCAAAATTTGGAAGAAGATGGAATACGCCTTAGAGCTCTCCTCCCCAGATCACCTCTTATTTCACTTTTTGTTCACCTCCTCTGTTCCCTCTCTCCCGGCCCCGATTTTTTCGTCTCCAGCTCGTCTCTCTCTCCTGATCGCCTCTGTTCTCTCTCCCTCCAAAAACCGAAGCCCTCTGTTCTATATCCACACCTTCAAACCTCTTCTTCTCTGCTAATCGCGTCCTTTCTCCGTTAACCTGGCCGTCTCTGCTTCTTCCCTCTGTTTTCTGTCCCCCGCGTGGCCTCTTGTCTACTTCTCTTCCTTGTCTTCCTCCTATCGCGCGTCTCTCTCTCTCTCTGTAAGTTTAACCTTTTTTGTCATCCAATAACTAAGAAAAGAAAAGTATACACATTAAATTAAAACGGTGCCGTTTAGAAGGAAGATAACTGCTGCATGGGCTGGGCTTCTATTTGGGTATAATTTGGGAAAATCGTGTATGAGGCTTAATTGGGCTATGGTTATTAATGGCCTTGGGCTATGCTTTTTGGACTTCGATTTCGGCTAAAAGAGGGAACCCAAGTGAGCCCAATCTAGGGATTTTTAGTCAGGATCCTTTCTAATTTCTTTTTAAAAAATCCAGTTTCTGCTTATGTGTTTTCGTTAAAGTACTTTGCTTGAACTTAACAATAACATAACGTAATATAAATACTTCATATGATATATGGAAGGATTTGTTGAAATGTATGTTTGAGAATGAATGAAGAACTTAACAAGATTGATACTTTTTAGTTTAAGTAGCTGCTTAATTTCAGTACCATGAATGCATGAAATAGTTATAGGGACAATTTGGCATGTTTATGTTTTTCAAAGATATTTTAAAGTTGTCTTCATTCCTTTTAAGGACGTTGAAAATCTTTTTTCTGTTTAGATATTTTTGGAATTACCAACTCATTTTTTTATGCATCTTTCCTTCATACCATAGAATTTAATTTACTGATCAGTTTGTTTGTTTTAGGAGTTGTTGCATGATTGTTTGAGCTGAAAAGTTTATGTAACCTATTTTGGTTTTCATTTACTATTTTAGTTTTACATTTAGAAGTTGTTACAATATTTTTTAAGTAAAAATATATATATATATATATATATATGATGTGTTACGATATTTTTTAAGTAAAAAATTAATGTGTTACTTGTTTCAAAACATATGAGAAACTGTGGCCTATTTCATACCTCTAAATGTGATTAGATAAAAACTTTTGATACTTACACTTTATTTGAATAAATTTTAGTGATACTTAATTAATGTATGGTAATGACAGTAATTAAATAGTAATGACATAAGATAGGGATGACAGAATTTTTTTATATTTGGATGATTGTCTATTAACGTATGTTAATGACATATTTTTATTTGGATGATAGGATGGTATAGTTATATTTTCAATCAAATTATTAATTTATCCTTACTTATTTATATAATAGTAAGTAGTATATAAGAAGTATATAATAAAAAAATAAATTATTTACTAATATAATTATATTTGTATTTAAATAAATAATTATTATAAAATAAATTTTTATATTTAATAAAATAAATAATAAATTATGATGATAAAAATAGAATTAAGTATATTATATTGGGTATAAATGGAAAAAAAAATTAACATGTCATTTACATACCACAATGTGATAAAACAATCAATTAAAAAGGATCCTCTAATTCCAATTAGAAATTCATTAGGCCCTGTAGGAACAGCCATTCAAATTGCAAATTTGAATTCAATTTACCATTTAATAACTCGTAATCAGATCTCGGTAACGAAATATTTTCAACTTGACAATTTAAACCAGATTTTTGAAGTAATTAAGTATTACTTAATGGATGAAACCGGGAGAGTTTATAATCCCAATGGTTTTAAAATTCATTTATCAGTCAGATACTGTTTGTTACTATTGTAAGTTAAAACAAACATGATTTTCTCACACCCGTAAAATACTGTACATTAAAATCCTATTATTTACTATGATCCAAACAAAGTGTTAGAGTAAAGACTAATCATAGTTCTCATATGGACTTTTTGCACACATTAGCATTTTTCTAAATTAGACATTTTATTTTATTTTTTTAATTCCATGAGTTATTTTTTTGTACAACTTTGTTTTCATCCTTCTTTTTATTTTGTTTTTGTTTTATTTTGTTTTTCTAATAAGCCAAAATTAATTAGTTTACGCCATAATATGGGTGCCTCATCCCTTCCTATTTGGTTTCATTTTTTGGCTTTAGTTTATTTTATTTAGACTAGTGAATGTTTTAATGTCTAATCTCACTTTAGATGAATTAACGGTGACTAATTTTCTTTAAAATAATTACATCATCTTTGGAAAAAAAAATTTCTATTATCAAAATTATTACAAGTAATTAGTATCTGATCCTACTTCTAGTATGATCAATATTGACTCTTTTAATTTTAAAAATCTCTCAAAGATTTAAATTATCAAGTTCTTTTTTTGGAGTTTTACCCTGCATCATGGTTGTGATAACTCCCGCATATGAAATATGGTGTAAAATATGCGAGAAAAAATTTTCCAATTGTTAGAGTAAGACTGATAAGATAAATATGATAGTTTATTCTGTTATATTCTTGACTTGAAAAATAAGTAAAGAAATTTTAATCACTACTTTATATGCTTTTTGTATTGAGAAAAAAATTGTTGAAATTTTAAAGATAGTAAAAAAGTCTTTCTACAAGTTTTATATTGATTATTGAAGATTACATATGTCTGATGTTGTAGAAAGCAATCATGTAAGTGAAGAATCATCTTTTACCGCTAATGCATTGAGTATTGGAAAAAATAGGAACTTACTGTTATTAATCGTGTTATAGAGTGTAACGGCCCCGAAAATTCATAATGAAATGTATATAAAAAATATCAAATGCGGAAGTGAAGTCAAAATTTGAATAACATCCCTTACACTAAAACCAAAAACGTGCTCATAAAATATAAAAGATCAAACTACCTAAAGGAGAAATTTGAAAGTAAAAGCTACGAATGTGACTATGGAGTCTTTAGGCGTCCCCTTCGTCGTCCTCCTGCGGAACCGGCTCGGGAACGATGTCCTCTTGATCTGAAATGATTAAATAAGGAATGAGCTACACTAGCCCAGTAAAGACATCACGATATCTCACCGTCACGGAGGTAAAGGTGGGTAGAAAACACAAAAAGACCAATGGAGCATAATTTACAATAAATCCTTTTATCAATAATAAAACCTTTACCATTCACTTACCACGGTGAAATTCATAAAACAATATACGAAAGCAATAACATCATCATCATCATGAAACCATATATATAAACTGTATAACATAATACCTATCAAGCTTTTGGTAATTCAATCGTTACACAACATATTTTCCTCATTTACCAGCCCACTAGTATCCATGGGGATCCATAGGGGTCCCGCTACCCG